AAAAAAAAAATATATATATACACACTTATCTAAAAGGATGAAAAGAACAAACTTTGTTAAGGGACCTTAAAAACAAGTAATGGCATTTCTAGGCATATACGTTTTAAAATTGATTGGGCTCTTTATTAATGAGCATTGGAATGAAGAGTATTCAAATAACCAGAAACCCCTGCACTCCTATCTTTGACTGAGTCTCTCAGAAGCACCCCTTGTGGGGTGATTCCAAGCAAAATCATCATCACCTTCTCCTCAGTCCAGGGAACCACACATCTTATCCTGGGGCTGTTCCCCCTTCAAGGGTGGCACAGGGCCACCTCTTGGGTTACAGCCAGCAAAAAAAAAAAAAATAAGAGAAGGTGGGAACTTAATTGTTCAAATGTTTGGGCAAATGTCTAAATACTCAAATATCCAAAAACAAAGTTCTGCCCATTATTCATTGTAAGATCCCTTAACATTTCTCCCAAAGGATAGGAGAAGCTGATATATATGGGCATATGGACCATCTCTCGAAGCTATTTTGGTGTGAAAAGCTTCAAAAGAAGATCTATAGATGCTAAAGAACTCAATCTTAGTTTTATCATAACAAACTCTTTTATAGGCAGGAAATATAAAGATTTGAAAATGGGCAAGAAAAAGTCTTCCAAATTTCTAAATTGTTGTAGTTATAACATAATAGTCTAATCCCTGACAACCACTCTGTAACGGAAATTATTGACTAAAATAGTGGTGGAGTACCTAGGTGTAGAATGTGTATGGTAAATCACTTTGTAAAGTGGGAAGGATGACTATTGATCAATTTTGTAAACAGAATTCACATTATTTAGGTTATCATAAATAAAGGTTTTCTCTAACATTTCATTATGAAAAATTTCAAACATATTGAAGATATTTTACGGTGAACACCTGTATACCTATCACCTAGAATCTACCATTAATATTGTACTATTTGCATGTTTTATCACATATTTATTCATCCTTCTGTCTACTTTGTCCATCAATATCAATCTATCTTATGTATGATACATTTCAAAAAATCTGGTTTATGTAGTGGTTCTTTTCTTAATACATTGAACATAAATTATTATTATTTTCTTGAGTTCACCTTAAAAAAGACTTTAAGGATTCTACATTCCCTACATATAAGGAAACTGAGGCAAAAGGTAGTTTTGCTAGAGGCCAAAATGCCACTTTGAGCCATCTAGGAACTAAGTAGTGCCATCACTGACTAGGTGGGTGATGGATGAATCCTAGTCGACATTCAGACAGTGGGAATGTGGTACAATAAAGGCAATGATTGTTTTAACAGGGCAGCTCCATGTTTAACAGGATTTAGTGTGGGAAGGGATTAGCAACTTTCACAGCCACTTAGAAAGAAAATTGGAAAGAACCCAGAATAAGGTGTGTGTGTGTGGGGGGGGGGGGGGCAATAGAGCCTGTGGAAAAAGAAGTGTCAAGCCGGAAAAGGAGTGTATGTGGTCAGTTCTAGGGGGTTAACTGAGTCATTAAGGACAAGCAGAGGAGCCCCGTAAGTGGTAGTGGCATTCACAATGCATCCCCTTCACCCCAATCTTCCACCTAGGATAAGTGTACCTGTGCGGTGGAACAGTCTGGGACTGAAGCTGTCGTGCACACAGCACACACGCCCTGAGAAGGGTGATCTGTGTATCCAAGGGTAGGTGACTTGGGATTTCTAGGAAGCTTGGGAGCAGGAGAATCCCGGGATCGCAGGTCACACAGCTCCATCCTCCGCCCCCCAGCCGAACGCTCGCGCGCTCTCGCGAGCGCGCCCCCGGCCGCCCTCCCGGCTCGGAGGCCCCCCTTTCACTTTCTCGTCTGCGTAGGTGTTTGCCCGGGCGAGCTCGAGGGCGCGCGGGGCGCCGCGGGGACGCGCGGCGCTTCGCGAGCGGAGGGGGAAGGGGTCCTGGCGCGCGGCTCCAGCCTCCGCTAGCTCCCGGACCGCCGCTGTCCGCGTTTCAGCAGCTGTCAGAGCTGGGGGACCAGGGCGGCCGCCGCTCTCACCCCTCCCCACCGCGCCCCCGCCCGCAGACGCGCAGCCGGTCCTCGGCGCCCCCCCACGGTGGGGGTGGGGCAGAGGCGCAGCGAGCCCCGGAGCGAGGAGAGGAGCAGCCTCCCCGGTGGGCAGCGAGGGAGCAGGAAAAGAAACTTTTCCCTCCCGCCCCCTGTGCGTAGTCCCGAGTGCGCGCCGGCCCCCGCAGGTGGCAACTGCACCTGAGGCCGGGGCGCGAGGTCAGGGCCGGACTTTGGAGGGACCTTGGTGAGGGGTGGGGTGCTACGTGCATTGGGGTTCCGTTTTCTCTCCGCCTCCTCACCGTCAGTAGCCGGGGTGGGAGGGCTGCCACTGGCGCCCCTAGCCCGTTTCCCACCAGCCGGTGTCTACGATTTGCTACCTTCTCCCTCTGGTGAGGGTGTGACGCCGAGAGCTCCCCCTGCGGCCTCCCCCTCACACACACTCCGACTCCCGAGCTGTCACCGGCCACCCCAGGCCCGGGGAGGGGGCGCGGAGAGCTGCGCTGCGGGGCAGCTGACGCGACATCACCCCTCGAAATTTGCCGGCTCCCAGGGCAGCCGCCGTCAACGCCGGGGAGACCAGCGGTCCCAGAGAGGGGCCCGCCTGAGGCCAGCCGCCGCTGCTGGGGGCGGGCGGGCGGGCGCCCGCGTCCCCCTCTGCGCGATTTGGCGCCGGCGCCTCGCCTGCTCCTACGGGGTAACAACACTACTGCTCTATTGCTCTACCCACCGTCAGAAGGGCGACCGCCGGGATTACCATCCTCTCCATCCTTTCCGCCGATCTGCTAATATTGGACTTACTGGTGGCGGCGGCAGCAGCGGCGGCGGCAGGAGTCTCGCTGCCCCCCCACACCCACCTCACCCCGCGCCTCAGCCTCCCCACCATGTCCTAGAAAAGGTGAGTGCAGCGAGTCACTGCACTGACAGCACCGGGAGGGGAACCGGGGAGCTCAGGGGCGGCCCTGGTGGAGGCAGGGTCCGCGCAGAGGTGGGCTGCAGGCAGGAGACTAGGTGCCCGCCGGGCCGCCTCCGGGCAGGGGTGCTGGGCGGTAGGCAGGCAAACGATCCAGGCGGCTGTCCCTGCACGATTCTAACCTAGATTTTGCAAGAAGCTGAGATCCAGGGCAAGACCGGCTCTCCGTAAAGGAGGTAAAAACTTAGTAAAACAGACACGTCCATTCCTTTAATAATGAATAATTTGGCAGCGCGGCTGAGCTGCCGCCTCCTCGCGTGCCCGGGCGCTAGGTCCGGGACTCCCCTAGCTCCTGCCTGCCGCCCGCGCTCCTCCCGAGTGCGATCGATGCCTGACTGCTCGCCGGGCTGGGAGAGCGCGCGTGACGGCGGGCCCCGCGGGAAAGTTGGGACACTTGACCGGGACTCCCAGCTGCGGGGGCGCCGGGTACCGCTCAGCGCAGGGCATTGCTGAACATCTGAGTCGGGGGTCGGGACCAGCTCTCCCGCGCCGCCGCTGTCGTCTCCGCTGCCTGGGAGTTCCCTACCTGGAACGGCTGGAAGTTTGAGTCTTCTTGCTTTCGGGGTCGGAAATCCCGAAGCTTAATTAACTGCAAGGCGAGGAGGGGCCTTTGGGCACTGGGTGAAAGCCTGCCCCGCGATTTACGGGGGCGCGGGACAAGGCTGCGCAGCCGCTGGCGCCGGGCTGCGGGTCGCCGAGGGCCAGGGGACCAGATTTAGGTGCGTACGTCACTGGTGCTGACTTCGAGCCAGCCGGGAGCCTAAAACCGAGCCTCCTACGTGGACCCTCAAAGTCCTTAGAAATCAAAGTTACGAAGCCCAGCGTTTGGGTGGGCGGGGGGTGAGTCGAGGTGGGGGCGGTTGGAGGGAAACGGAAATTTCTTCTTGCAGATGTTGGATCCTTAGAAAACAGTTCGGTTCCTCTCCCCGCCCCCCCCCCCCGTATGTTTCTCCCAATTATATGCACCCCTCCCACCCATTATAAGGAAGTGAATATCCTCGATGGAAGGCTTTTCTTTTAAATTAAACTAGTGGAAAAATCCAACACTAAGTAGTAAAGACAGCAATAAATTATAAGGAGAGAGCAGCTCTTGACCCTGGTACTTTGGTAGGGGGGCTGAGGGAGTGGGTGAGAGGCTGTGTTTAAAGGGCTTGGCTACACTGAAACCACCTTTTCCTGCACGGTTAAAACAAGGAAATTCAAATCAAGTGGGAACGTGATCCTTTTGCATGCTGGCAGCGGACGCTGCGGCTGCTCTGCCGAGAGGTAACTCGGCAGACCCAGGAAAGGGGCGTGGAGAGGACCTCGGGGGTCGAGTAAAGTCCCCGCGGGAATCCTCCCTTGCACTTGGACGCTGTGGGTGGAGCCTGGTCCAGGACTGCCCTTCACCTGGCGCTGCAGGTGGAGAGCGTGAGGGGACAACACCTTGACTGGCTCTCGGGAAAACCGACTTTTACCGCGTCATCACACTTTTCACGTCTTTTCGGATATCTTGGGATCGGCAAGAGAGCCAGGTGGGCGCGAGTAAGTTAAGGGCGGTCGAGCGAGTGGGGCGGGGGTCAGCGTTCAGAGGGTGCCTACTACCTAGTGTCGTAGCCGCTGCCCGCCACCCCAAACGCCCGCCGTTGCTGCGGCTTTAAGGGAGCTGCCGAGTCCAGGCTGTGTCGCAGCAACTTTGTATTAGTCATGTCGCCCTCCTAGTGACTGACAGGCACGATTGCCCAATAAGAAACCACCCTGACCCATGCAGCGTGGAGCCTTGCTTCCCCCTAGGCCAATAGCAAAGGCCCAAGGGGCGGGATAGCAACCTGAACTTTATCTGGACATGTGACCCGCTTTTAAAAGGGCCGGCCCTGGAGCTGGCCCACTCCCCCTCCGGGCTTTCGCCCGCCCTCTTTCCTTCTCTCCCTCCCCATTTCGCCCGCCCTGGCCCTGCCCCTACCCCTGGCCCTCTCCGCCCCTCCTTGCCCGGGGTGTCATTGGACTGGGGAGACGCTAGCCAACTTCAGGCTGCTTGGAGAAAGCCTGTGCAGTCACCTGGGTGCAAGAGCGTTGCTGCCTCGGGCTCTCCCGCTGCAGGGGGAGCGGCACTCACTGGCCTGGATGTGGTTGGATTTAGGGGGGCTCCTCAGCTGGAGTGTCGTAGCGTTGGCGAACGCTGCAACAGGTAGACGCCGAGACGGACCCGGGCCGAGGCAGGTGTGTGGGGGTGCGCGGCGGGGCGCCGCTTGCCGGCCTGGGCGTGCGGCCGCGGCGCGGGAGCGTGCACTTTGCTGGGAGAAGTGGCTGCGTAATTCGGAGGCACAGTCAGTATGGTGCTGTGTGCTTGTTGTTTTGTTTTGGTTTTCCACTTTTTCCCCCCTTTGGCCGCCAGAGGACTATTTTGGGAAAGTTTGGCCACTTTGGATAAATGCCCTCTGACGAGCGGCTTTTGGCAGTGGAAGGTCTACCACCACCCTTCTCTTTTTCCCCAAGATGAATTTCGGGTCGTTTGCCTTGTACAATTTTTAAAGGTCCTTTGAATAATATTTCTTCCCTCTATCAATTGCAGAAGCACCCAAATCTCAGCTGGAGGTGTAGCTAATTAAGGGCAATTGAAGGGGATAGAGATCCTGATAGATCCTGCATGAAGGGGGCTCTGGAAATTCATGCATTCCCCATTCCTTGGTATTGACGAAACTCGAGAGAGGCTATTCTTTCTGTGGCATCAGTTGGAATTCTAAAGGCAGGGGAGAAGGGATGAAGTTTCTTTCGGTCGCATCAGTACCCTTCTATTGCATTTAGGTGCTTGGCTTTTCCTACTGAATTTTTAAAAAACAGGTTTAAATCATAACGGTTTATGGCACCCTCGGTTTTAACTATTAAATAGAAGTTAGGAAAACTTTTATTTGAGAGCAGACAAATTTTGGAAACTGCTGAATTTCAAATGCACCAAATTGCCTTTTAACGTTTGTATTTCCATTCCCCTAGGTGCTGTTATTGATGATATTTACATAGTAATGATAACAGCGTTCTCCATCTGTGAAGTTCTGCTGTGAAGTTTTAATTTTATGTTTGACTTCATGGCACGATATGGAAATGGTCGAGGAGAGCTTTTAAAAATAATATAAAGGCGAGCTTTTTCCTTTAAGGGAGAAGAAATAGTTTTGTTTTGGGGATTTTGGAAAGATCAGGTGGCTTAGTGAATTAGGTGAGTGAATAGAAATCAGGTGTGCTCAGTTCTAACTGGTTCTCCTGCTCTCTTAGGTGACCTTGGGCAGGTTTCTATCATTTACCTCATCTATAAACGAAGGGAACATAATAATAGTTCTGTATTGGGGATGACAGAAAAATAGTTACATACAACAAACTTACAACTATGCAACCAGTAAAAATTGTGAAATTCTTAAGATTCTGGTCTTTTAAATGCCATATTATAGTGATATAACTATAGAAAAGATGCATTTAAAATGGAGCTATGTTTGGGGGATATTAAAAGTGAAAGTGTTTTCGGATAAAATACAAATTTGCAGGAGTCTTTGTTAATATTCCTGGGGGAAAAAAACAACAACTACTTCCTTATGGAACAGGACAATTTAACACAGGGTATAAAACACAATTTTAAGTCAGAATTTTTCTTTGCAAAAATAGTATTTAAGAGCATATATATGGCTTAAAGTAGAACTTCTAGCACTACTTCTCCTTACTTTTCTTATGTGAAATTTCCTTTATGTTTTGTGGGGAGGAATTTGCATGAAAATTAAAAGGGTCATAAGAGTTTTTGATTCTGTCCCAAGAAGGTCTCTGTTGTAATCCCCATTGTAAGGGAGACAAATTTCATTTTATATAAGCTAGGTTTGTATATCAGTATCTTATAGGGATACAGAAACTGCCCCTTTATCCTGTGGATAGTAAGTTCTATGAGAATCGTATTCACCAATTAATGTTTTTAGTATTCACTAGTAAGTTCAAGTTGACTGAAATTCTCTTGAAGCCATGGTCATTAATGGCAATTCCAAAAGGACAACCTGGGTTTCCTGGACAACATAGGGAATAAATTTCTAACCTGACCCATTTCTTTACAGAGAAGATGAATTAAAATAATAGGGAGAATTCAGCATAAAATATCTCAATAAACCTATTTTAAAAAAAAATCTGATCTTTAGAAATGTTTCTACTGGAAGCCATGCAGATGCTAGATGTCCTCCGTTCTTCTGTGTTTGTTGTCAACCTTTACTCTGTTTTCTTTGTGGAGAGGTACATTAGGTTGATAGATGAGAATACCTAAAATAAAGCTAATTTAGATTTCAGCAAAACCTGTTACAAATTCTTTAATGATAGCCCTGTCAATCACATAGTAAAATGCAGGCTATATGATATTATTGTTAAGGGAGTATAAGGCTGGCTAAACAGGACCAGGAAAGTTGGGATCAGCTGCATGATGTTAGCTGATAAGGTGCTTCTCTGTAGAGTGCTTTAAGATTGTCCTTGCCTGCCATCTCTCATATAGATTCTCTTCAAATCTTCATATAGCCTCACAAATCTGAGTTATGATTCCTACTCCAGGGCAGAGTGATGAAAAATGTCCTTTGGAGTATCAGTAGGTGTTCTGAGGAAAAAAAAAAAAAAAGGGTGCAGTGGCCCAGTTATGTGGGAAATGCTGGATTCTAAAGAAAACAGGTTTCTGCACTGTGGAGCTGCCCAGGAGTTTTCGCATGCAGATTTACACTGTGAAACTTCAGAAATGCACTAACTGATCATCTTTCCCAAAAGAGAATTTGGACGATGGATTTTTTGGACAGGGATCTGCATGGAGATTCCCTCTTCAGACCCAGGAAGATAGGCCTGTTGCCTGGGACCTGCGGAGAGAGAATAAGGCTGTCGGTGTGGGAGTCCAGAGGGGTGAACCTATGGAGGCTTTTAGTGAGGGTGCCTGGGCAAGGGTGACTTCCAGGTACCTGGGCAGAGGGTGATAGTTTACCGAGACAGGGAATGTGGTTTTAGGGACTGGGTTGAGGGGAGAGAGACACAGAAGTTGTTCAGTGTTTAACATGAATAGACAGACATGTTACTTGTGGTTTTTAATGAATTTGGAGCCAAAACATTCATACCTTAGATATATATCTGTTCAAGTTTGGTATGGGAAGGACAGCATATTCTTACGTAGAAAGAAGTTGAAGAAGCACATAATAGTTATTGGTATTTTTCAACCTGTGGCTATGACTAAATGGTTTTTTAGTAAAGGAGAAAATACTAGTAGTAGCCATTTCGGTTCCATTTCACTATGTAGTTGTTTTTTTTTTTCTACTTTTACTTGGCTTTTATCCACACTAAGTTGTTTTTGGCCAGAGTTACCAGATAATCACCTCAGGCTCTGTAATTTGATTTATTTTCCAGTATTTTATGATTGATTTTTGATTAGGAATTTATAGAATAATGCTCTTTAAGTAAAAGGAGGTTACATGATTGGTACGTTTTAATGCTCATAAATTATTGAGCATTGATTGTGTTATAATAGTTAAAACTGTTTAATTTACAGTATATTATCTGTTTAGGATGCAGTGATGAAATTTATAAATCTTCTGCCTTCTGAGACCTTAAATTCTAGTGTAGCATACAGAAAAGCTAGAGGTAATTATAATATGCAGACAATTTGGCATTAAATTTCCTCGTAGAGCCTTGTGATAGCTATTGCCAATTTATTTGGTAGAATCATCATTATTTTTCTGTGTTAATTAATATAAGTTCTGTAACAAAAGGACTTCCTAGTCTCTTTTTTAATGAGGGGAAGGTAGGGAGGATGGAGGTACGAGTGGCAAAGGTTGGAGGAGGATAGAGGCCAAAAGTAATGTTGCTGCACAGAACCAAAGAAACTGCATGTTTAAGATCAGGACCTTTATTTGGGTCATAACTTGTTTACTCAACTGAAAGGATTTGAAAAATGAATGCATAATAACTTTAGGAGTTTTATATATTGAAATGTACCATTAAAATTGTTACCAAGAAGTTAATTTTCTATACCATGGTGGTAATCAATGGTATGGGAGGTTATTTTGCTCCCCACCTCCCCCACTTGGGAACGTTTGGCAATGTCTGGAGACATTTTTGGTTGGCACTCTGGGGATGGGAGCTGCTACTGGCATCTAGTGGGGAGGGGTCAGAGATGTGCTAAACATCTTACACAGCATGGGACAGACCTTCACAACAAGGGATTATCAGGCTCCAAATGTCAGCAGTGCCAAGGTTGAGGTAGCCTTTGGTGTAGAGAGAGACATGAAATCAAATGCCAGCTCTGCCACTTAGCTGTGTACCCGGTGCCTCAGTTTCCCCATTTGTATCATTTGGAGCATTCTTTTACCAATCTTAAAGCGTTGTTTATAAGGGTAAATAAGTTAATGTGTGTGAAAGGCTTATACTACTGCATTGAATTATATAATGCATAAGAATTTTATAAATACAGCCTATTACAATTATTCTGTCAGTGAAATAGAGAGAGCGAGCCAATAATTATGATTGGGTATCTACAACGATCCTGTGGGCTCACTGAGGATGAGGACTGCGCCTGTTTTGTTTATCACTATAGATTCAGTGACTGATTGTAGGCCCAGGATGTAGCACACACTTGGTAAATATTTGTTGAATGAATGAGCACCTAAGTTGTCAGGACCCATCTCGAACTCCCTCCCTTTAAGGTGGAGAATGCAACAGTCTGCTGGGAGTCTTTTAGCAGAGGTAGCGCTAGGTCAGGGTGCACGTCGAAGTCCTCATCAGTATTGAAATACAGAGAAGAGTCCTCTCATTCCTCACGTAGCTTCCCTGAGCTATGGACCATCTTAATTAATCAGAATGTATGAATCTTTACCTTTTAGAACTGACATTAAATTATCTTGATCACTAATCCATTTTAAGAAAATCTTATGTTTTAAAAGTAATTCTTAAATTGTATTTTCTGTGATAATTCACTTAATAATTTCATATTGGGAAATGGTAACATTAATTGCATGTCCTTATTGTTTTTAATAAAGTCATGTCTTAGATATGGGAAGCAGCTTTCATATGCCCAAAAGATTCCAAAGGCTTTGGAGTTAGAAGATTCAGTTTTAAACCTGCCTTTGTCACTTACTGTGTCTTTGACCTTGGGCAAGTCACCCACCTCATTAAGTCCTCAGTTTCCTCTTTGTTTACTTCATGGTCCCCAGGATTGTTTTGAATATTAAATAAATTAACATTTGTAAATATTCTTTGCAAACTCTAAAGGCTGTATTATAGAACTATGTTACTTTTATTTGGATGAAAAATAGTTTTCTATGATTGCTTCTTATAGTCTGGTTTCTGGACAAGTTACAGTCAGGACTCTGTTGTATCAGCACCTAAACAGGTAACAGTTTTCATACAACTAGAAGTGTTGCTTATAATAAGTAGAATATGTACATAAAGCTTAATACAGCGATTTTCAACCTTTTTCATCTCCTGGCACACGTAAACTAATTACTAAAATTCTGTGGCACACCAAAAAATATATTTTTTGCCTACTTGACAAAAAAATAATAGGTATAATTTTGATTCATTTACACTGGATGTCTATTGTTGTGTTGGCTGTTGTCACATTTTTACTTGACAATCTAAGGGAAAAGAGGTCAGTGTCCCAACAAAGTAGTCAGGTATTGCATGTTTTAAACATTCTTGCTGCACACTGGTTGAAAATTGCTGGCTTAGTAAATGGAACTTAAGAATGTCTTTTAGAGTAACATTGCTATCAATGACTCTAATTCGGTTTTTTAATGTAAATTTTATTTGTTAGCTATGGAGACCAAAGGCTACCACAGTCTCCCTGAAGGTCTAGATATGGAAAGACGGTGGGGTCAAGTTTCTCAGGCTGTGGATCGTTCTGCCCTGGGACCTACAGAGAGGACCGATGAGAATAACTACATGGAGATTGTCAATGTAAGCTGTGTTTCCGGTGCTATTCCAAACAACAGTACTCAAGGAAGCAGCAAAGAAAAACACGAACTACTCCCTTGCCTTCAGCAAGACAATAATCGGGCTGGGATTTTAACATCTGACATTAAAACGGAACTGGAATCTAAGGAACTTTCAGCAACTGTAGCTGAGTCCATGGGTTTATACATGGATTCCATAAGAGATGCCGAGTACGCCTATGATCAGCAGAACCAACAAGGAAGCTTGAGTCCAGCAAAGATTTATCAAAATGTTGAACAGCTGGTGAAATTTTACAAAGAAAATGGCCATTGTCCTTCCACTCTAGCTATGAGCAGGCCCTTGAGATCATTCATGTGTGACTCCGGGAACTCTGTAAACGGTGGGGTCATGCGTGCCATTGTTAAGAGCCCTATCCTGTGTCATGAGAAGAGCCCGTCTGTGTGCAGCCCTCTGAACATGGCGTCTTCAGTGTGCAGCCCGGCCGGCATCAGCTCTGTGTCCTCCACCTCGGCCAGCTTTGGCAACTTCACAGTGCACAGCCCTATCACCCAGGGGACTCCCTTGACATGCTCCCCGAATATTGAGACTCGAGGTTCCAGGTCGCACAGCCCAGCACACGCCAGCAATATGGGCTCTCCTCTCTCAAGTCCATTAAGTAGCATGAAATCCCCAGTTTCCAGCCCTCCAAGTCACTGCAGTGTAAAATCTCCAGTCTCCAGTCCTAATGTCGCTCTGCGATCCGCTGTGTCTAGCCCGGCAAATATCAACAACTCAAGGTGCTCTGTTTCCAGCCCTTCCAACACAAATAACAGATCCACGCTTTCCAGCCCAACTGCTAGTACTGTGGGATCTATCTGTAGCCCCGTTAGCAATGCCTTCAGCTACACTGCTTCTGGCACTCCTGTGGGATCCAGTGCGGCCCGCGATGTGGTTCCCAGTCCAGACACACACGAGAAAGGTGCTCAAGAGGTCCCCTTTCCCAAGACTGAGGAAGTAGAGAATGCCATCTCCAACGGTGTGACTGGCCAGCTTAACATTGTCCAGTACATAAAACCAGAGCCAGACGGAGTTTTTAGCAGCTCATGTCTAAGAGGAAATAGCAAAACAAATCCCGATTCCCCGTTCTCAGTACCAATAAAACAAGAATCCACCAAGCATTCATGTTCAGGCACCTCTTTCAAAGGGAATCCAACAGTAAACCCATTTCCGTTTATGGATAGCTCATATTTTTCCTTTATGGATGACAAAGACTATTATTCTCTATCAGGAATCTTAGGACCGCCTGTGCCCGGCTTTGATGGTAACTGCGAAGGCAGCGGCTTCCCAATGGGGATTAAACAAGAACCAGACGATGGGAGCTATTACCCAGAAGCCAGCATACCTTCATCTGCCATTGTTGGTGTGAATTCAGGTGGACAGTCCTTTCACTATAGGATTGGTGCTCAAGGTACAATATCTTTATCACGAGCGGCTAGAGACCAATCTTTCCAACACCTGAGTTCCTTTCCTCCTGTCAATACATTAGTGGAGTCATGGAAATCACACGGTGACCTGTCATCTAGAAGAAGTGATGGATATCCGGTCCTAGAGTACATTCCAGAAAATGTATCAAGGTAAGTTGGCTTCTTCATTTTTGAAAATCATGGTTTTATAAAATGTGAAAGGTTAGCACTAAATTTACAGTTTGACAAATGAAACGCATGTCAGTTTATTGTTTTGTTTATGTTTTTAGGATGGTCATTTAGTGTTCCCCTGCAGTTGCTTGTTGGTATAATGTTACTACTTTTTAAAAACAGAAAAAAAAAGTTCTTCAAACCTCTTAGAAAATATTTGTGTTGATTTTGAAGGAGACTATATAGGTGCCTCCCCCGGCCCCCTACTGCCACGTTGCCTATTGTTGGTATTTGGAAAAAGTTTGTTTTCTGCTGCCTGTTACTAGGTTTACTTTAGCAGACTAGTGCCAGATTTTTTTTTCTCTAGCTAGCTGTATACTGGTTCACTAAAATTGCTTTAAATTAGTTTCTTTGTGGATTTAGTCTTCTCCCCCCCCCCCCTTTTTTAAGCTTTCTGCATTAATCACTTCATTGGCTGTGAAAAATGAAACTGAACCCCAAATCTGTTACCCACAAGCTCCCCACTCTTTGTCCTTTTCTAGTTAGGTTAAATTGTATGTAAGTTGTGGTTTTAAATATAAATAAGCCATTTCCTTAACATTTGAGGGCTTTTAAAGACTCAGCACAGCTAAAATTACTAAGTGGACACAGCCTTGCTCTCTTACTCATATTGGAAATGAATATGTCACTGCAGTTTTGAATTGGTATATTTATAACTTTTAAAATCTTCAAGAGGACATACATGACTTACTGTAAGATACCCCTTGGTTTTCCTTATTGCCGATAGCATACTGTATATATTTAGAAAAACAAGGAAGAGGTTTTAGATATGACTAAAGGGTGGTTCAAAGTTATATAATGAATGCTTGCATTGGACTTTGCTTCAGTCCTATTTTTATTATGTGATTGTACTACATGATTCCTTTATTGGACATATAAAGAATAGATTTCTTAGATATAGCTTGTTCCTTTGGCATCTGGGAATATGTGGATATTTTCCTCAAAAATGTACTTCGTGGGTAATATGTCCAGGCTGTAGGGTTTGTGTGTGTTCCTATATAGTTCTCCTATTTTTTTTTTTTTTTTTCCCCAAACCAAGAGCAAAAACTTCAACTTGTGCAGTCTTTTTCTCATCATTGACTCAAACCTGACTCCTCTCGCTTTTATGGAAGCAGACATTTCATAAAAGATACGTTCTTACATTTCAATGCTGCCTCTCTCTTAATCTCTAAACTTAAAGCTTTCATCAGAACCAGGCATGTGGTCTCCTGTTAGTGCTCTGATTTACTTTTAGAGAAGGAGATTTTGTGCATCATGTAGATATTTTGGTAAGTGATGTTATTTCAGTTAGTGAGTTAGTACGAGGGAGTGTAGCCTGGTAGTTAAGAGCACAGCTGCCCTGGTTGAAATCCCAGCTGTGCCATTTAATTGTTTCATGTCCCTGTGTACCTACCTCCCTTCACCTCCCTAGACTGTAGTTCTCTTATCTGTAGAAAGGGGATTCAATAGTACCCATCTCAAAGGCAGTTAAGACAATTGAGTTAATTTTTGAGAAGCACTTTAACTATCACTTGGTATGTAGCATACATTATATATATTTTAGCCATGACTGTTAATTTCATTAACTCTCAAGTGTTTTCACAATCTTTAATTTCTTTTTTTTTTTAGTTATTGTTGTCTTTTTTATATGAAATTCAACAAAATAATTTTAAAGCAGTATGATGTACATAGTTAAAAGAAGTGTTTGTTGATAATTCTTAAGATTAAGTTCTAGTCTGAGTAAAAAATTTACGATTAGGCACCAGACATTTGCTACTGTATTTCTGTTTATGCTTTTTTAGTTGACTCATGAAGCACCTCCTGATGGTCTAGCCTTAAACATATTAATGTGAACCAGTGACCTTGAACCTACCCTGCATTCGTGGGCACTGGAGGTGTCGCTGGTGTCTCTGCTTGAGTATTCCAGAATTATCTATATATGTATTCGTATAGTCGTAGGGTTTCATCGTGTTTACATGTATGCTGGTGTTTACATGTATGCTGGTACATTTTCAAAAAAATTTAATATCAATGCTCTAATGTTGTTTGAAGTCTCTTATAGATTACTAACTCTTTACAGCTTTTCCTGTTTAATATTATCCAAGTCTATTTGTTTTGATCATTCTTAGCATAAAGGCTCAACAATCAGAGGATATTTAGATCTTTTTCTAGATTTTAGTCTGTGTTATAATATTTAATTTAACGTCATCCAAGCTTCATCATTGGGCTCTTATTTTGTGTCTTTTGGACCAAAATCCAGCATTTTGACTATTTTATAATTTATGATGATGCCCCATTCCAGGGAATGTTGAATAAATCAATGAATTAAAGGCTGTAAAAGATCAAGACATGTGCAACCACTGTATGTTTTAGAACATGCTATAACTTTTGGTTGAACTCTCTATATTAAACTGTTTTCTTGTAGATCTCAAAATACAGTTTGAGGTTCCTGAGATCTCAAGGAGATTCATGAAGTCAAAAATTATGCATTGGTAAAAGATACATTGAAAATGGAAGACAGACCAATGAATTTTAATGTAATAGTATATGAAAAGTTCAGGGATAATGCCTTTAGATTCCACACTGCAACTAACTTTTAAGGAACTACTTATTGTTAATTTTCAGTGTACTATCAAAGAATCTTATCTGCACTTATCTGAAAAGACCATTAAAATGCTCCTCCTTTTTCCAACAACATATCTGTGTGGGGCCAGATTTTCTTTTTATACTGGAGCCAAAACATATCACATCACCACATATTGAATGCAGAAGTAGATATGAAAGCCCAGCTGTCTTCTATTAGGTGAGGCAATAGACTTGCAAAAATGTACAACGGGGCCTGTCTTCTCACTTGAGTTTTCATTCTGGAAAATATAGTTATTTTTACATAAATTGTGTTTTTTCACATGTAATGAGTTCTTTGTAAATGATTTAAAAAAATAATTTCTAAAAAATGGTAAATCTCAGGAGATAGGATGCATATAAACCAAAGCTCTTTGGTAGCCTCAGTCCATTTTAGGAGGGGAAAGGTGTCTTGAGATACAAAGGTTGAGCATTGCTGGTCTGTGCTGTTCTATACACCCAGTAGTAGCTAATGAAGAAGAAAGGTATTCCTGTATTTGTGTCAGCCTTACTGACTGAAATGTGAGGAAGGAGTGCCCTACTCAAATAAGAAAAATGATTCTCATCTTGATTAATTTTTCAGGCTGATAAAAATGAGTAATGACTAGGAAGTGTGTGTTGCCTCTTCTCAGGGCATTCTCTGAAAGGGGTGAGGAAAGTCATCTGTCTGTTAATAATTTCCAGTGACTGGGTTGTCCGAGTGCCACAGTGTAAAGTAAATGATGAAAAAAGCTGAATGGAAAGCTCTTAGGGTGGACGCTGGACTTCCCTGGGTCATGTAGATTGGCGTTCCCCTGTCAGCTTCAACACAAACAAAACTAGAACCTTGAGTGAGTCATGACTTCTTGAAGCCTCAGTTTCTTTATTTTAGAGAGAACAACTTGAGCTAGATGCTCTCTAAGGGTCCGCATCCCTTCACATATTTGCTAATGTGGTTTCAGGTAAGTTTGAATCCCAAGTCTAACTTGGTAGTTTCCAGGGTAGTCCAGATAGAAAAATTATTTCCCATTTAAAAGTACAAGCGAGTAGGCGTGGCCTGTCATTTTACTTTCAAAAGCAGAGTTATTAGAATAAGACCTTTCCTTTTGCAAAATTTGACACTTATTATGAATTTCTTGTTCTGTAATGGACACCATTCCTTTAGGAAACAGGTTTTCCTGTTGACATAACATTGGGTGTTTATGGTGATAGTGGTAGTCACTTGGACAGCTCATAACAGTGCTAACATAGACTTAGACTTTTGAATATAAAGTTCACTATTTCAAAGGGCATATGCTGGTAGATTTCAAGACAAGCAATCAAGTATTTATCTTATATGCTGCATTTTTTAAATGATAGAATGAAACAATTTAGTAAATAGCCTACAGTTATATTTTATTTCTCAGATGTCCCTAGAATTTTTTGAAACTCACTTTCTATAATAAGTCAAAACCCTCAGAATTTAAGGAGTTTGTTACGGAGTTTGCCCTGTCTCTTAGTAAACCCTTGAGCTATAAATATCTCTTTGTAATGCAAAGGATGAAATATTGGTGTGTTTTTTGGGGGGGGGGTTGATTATTGGTGCTTACTATAACAAATAAATCAATTACAAGATTACTTAGGTCATTTGGAAATGAAAACATGAAACTTTCTTTTTCTTATTATTTGTCTCATAATATTTTGATTTTGAAGTTGCTAGTATACCTAGAATTCCTCCAGGTTAGTATTCTGAATATTTTTAGAAGTGATCTTCAAATAAGACTTGCTTCTCCTGATGATTCATTCACTTTCATTCATCTGTGGTATTTCTGGTAAGAGTGGTGATAATTTTATTTTTAAAAAAATCTTAGTGGTTTTTAATCTACAAATCACTGTGTACAGTGTGCTTTTATGTATTTTGCTTTTAACGTCACAAGTATTCTAGGTTTATGTATGTCTACCTTTTATTGTCTAAAGTATTAGTACAGTTTGAACTGTTTATATCTTAAGAACTTAGCAAAAGTTATGGTTTTGGTTAAATCAACTAAAAATATTCAACTTCAGGCAGTTTCCATACTGGTGACATGCTGAAACTAGGACCTGGAGATTTATTGTTTATTGATTTGATGCCTTTTGCAATATTGAAATTCTGGGTGTGTCTGACTTTTTCTGTGCTTGTAATGTTTAAAAGTAACAGCAGATGTTATATTGATCACTGTAACTTAGGAGTAGCACTTCCCTTCCCTTAATGCTTTGATGTCATTCATTTTTTCCTCTGAAATAATACTTTCCTCCAGCTTTCCACTGTTGTTTTAAGTTCATATCACTCATCTGCTTATAAAATGTCAGCTCTGCTGCTAAATAACTTACCATTTTATTTA